GTCACGCCACAATCCCTTCTCCTCCATTCTCCTCTTGGGATCTTAGGCATGCACGCACACGCACCCGGCATGAGTTTTAAGCCACCAGGTCCGGGACATGAACCGTGGTCGACTACATGGGAGTCCAGCAACATAGCCATTACACTAACTGCTGGTTCCCTGTAACCATAACTTTCTACATTTAAACTCAAAAAGTAATTTATAGTGGATGTTTTGTGAAGTGATACTGGAAAACATCACTGTTGCAACAGTGCTTTGATTAAAACTCTAGAAACACTGTTTAAAAACCAATGGCTGGGGCCGGCAAGTAGCATAGCATGGTGGTTAAGGGTGGTGGACTCCCATAAGGCCAACCGCGATTCGAGTCCCGAACCTGGTGGCTTGCCTTTCCTCTCTCTGGCACCCCCACCCCCAGTCAGACTTAAAATAAATGAATACGTAAAATTAAGTAATTCTTAAAAAAAAAAAAACAAAAAAAAAAAAAAAGGCGGGACCAGCAGTTAGCGTAATGGCTATGTCGCTGGACTCCCATGTAGTCGACCACGGTTCATGTCCCGGACCTGGTGGCTTAAAACTCACGCCAGGTGCGTGTGTGTGCGTGCCCAAGATCCCGAGGGGAGAATGGAGAAGGGATTGTGGCATGGCCATCCCCCCTGGGGGGTGATTTCTCGCTTTCTATCTCTCTGTCTCTCGCTGTCTGTCTGGCAAGCGCACGCGCCCTATAGTGAAAAAACCTCTCAAAAAAAAAACAAAAAGGCAATGGCTCTTAAGTTTATGATGATTTTTTTTTTCCTGTTGATCTTTAAAACTACGTGCAAAATTAATATGAACATCTATTTTAATGGTCACACATGCACACAGAAGAAATGAGGACGGGGGCGTCTGCTGGATTGCTCTAGGCTGCCAGGTGATGGTGAGGAAAGGATCCACGTGCCCCGGAACCCTGGGGATAGCTGGCTATGCTGTATATGTAAGGGAGGGTTCTGCCACGGAACAAGCAGCAGCTCCAAAGGTGAGTGGTCACAGGACAGCACAGGGCTAAGGTGGGCAAGTCTAAGGTTCAGTGCCTGGAGCTCCAGCTGTCATTCAAATATTCACTCAACTGGTATTTCTGGAGCACTATTAAATTGTAAATGCGATCCTAGGCAAAGGGCCTTAGCAAGAATTAGAAACAAACAAAAGGAGAATCCAGCAAGTCAGGGGTAAGTGAGGAGGGGTGTGTGTGTGTAAAGGAGGCCTCAGAAGCAGAGCAATGCTGGCAGGCAGTATGAGTAGGGAGGGAACGGAGGGGAAACCGTTGCACGGAGCGAGCCTGAAAAGGTGGTTCAGAACTCACAAGACCATGATAAGGAGTGGGTCTTTATTTCCGGAACAGTGGATGCTCTTATATGTATTAAATGAAGTAAGCAATGATCAGATTTGCACTTCTTGAACAGATTACTGTGGCTATAGGGTTGAAAAGGAAAAGAAGAAACAATAGTAAATTTGAGACCTAAAATTAAGAGCCACTTAACAGCCCACTCAGTGGGTGACAGAAGCATGGGCTGCACTCAGTGGATGACAGTGGTGTGGGCTGCAGTGGTAACTGCTACTGACTGTCACCAGTGGCCTGGCCACGCCAACCCTTATGCTGCCTTGGCCTCACCCTTCACGTGAACAGCAGCACGGTGCATTCTGACTGCATCATGCGGGTGTGTGGATCTACTCGCAGGCAGTCAAAGGGAGGTGGGGCTCCCAGCCCAGCTCTGTGCTCTTCCAAAGCTGTGATACCATGTCAGCAGAGCAGCAGCGTGCGGCGCAGGTGAGGATGGGGTGGAGGTGCCTGGCCAGGCAGTATGGCTGGCCACATGGTCTGACAGGAGACTCACAGGGCTGCCACATGGCCACAGAGAAGCAAGGGGAAGACAGGCGGCTTGCCTCCCCTGGACACCACACTACAACCATAAAGGCAGTTATGTGACTGCCCATGCTTTTGTTTTTTGGAGAGGTTTTTGCCATAGGGCATGTGCGCTCGCCAGAAAGACAGAGAGAGACTGAGAGACAGAAAGTGAGAAATAACCCTGGAGGGGATGACCATGCTGCAATCCCTTCTTATCCATTCTCCTCTCGTGATCTTGGGCACGCATGTACACACGCTTGGCATGAGTTTAAGCCACTGGGTCCAGGACTCGAACTGTGGTTGACTACATGGGAGTCCAGCGACATAGCCATTACACCAACTGCTGGTCCCGACTGCCCGCACTTTCGAGCACACTTAAGTGAAGGTCTCTTAAACTCTGTAGAATTATTTGGCTGGGGTAACTACATTTCTATAGGAGCAACAACAAAAAACCAAAATAACTATTTTGGGCAGGTAAACCTAATAAAGGAATTTTCTAGGACAATCAACGTCATTCCCAAACAAGTGTGACTAGAAAGTAGGCAGAGGTCCTTACACAAAGACAATGTCCCCTCTCTTAGAGTAGGCAGGAATGGCACTGGCTATGGTGGCAAAGCCGTACGAGTATATGATGGCTTCTTCTGTCTTCATAAACTGGGCCAAGCGATCTTCCAGATCCAAATGAACATCTGTTAACACAAAACACGTATAGGTTACACCGTTTTATAATTCTTTTTCTACCACGAAAGAACAAAGACAAGAACACCAGCAGTTTAATTATTAATACTTTCACCTTCTGGTCAAATTGTGACTGTTTTTCAATGATCAATTATACAAGCCCTATTAAAAACAAGGTGGGGGACCAGCAGATGGCGTAATGTTTACGTCGCTAAACTCCCACATAGTCAACCATGGTTTGAGTCCCGCACCCAGTGGCTTAAAATTCACGCCAAGTGTGAGTACATGTGTGCCCAAAATCTGGAGAGGAGAATGGAGAAGGGATTGTGGTGTGGCTATCCACTCTAGGGGGGGATTTCTCGCTTTCTGTCTCTCTGTCTCTCTCTGTCTGGCGAGCGCACGCGCCCTATAGCGAAAAATCTCTCCAAAAAATGGCATGGAGGTTAAAGTGCTGGATTCCCACATGGTCATCCGTGGTTCAAGTCCTGGGCCTGGCAGCTTGAAAAATCACACCAAGCACCTGTGCATGCTTGCCTAAAATCTTGAGAGGAGAATGGAGGAAAAGGATCACAGCGTGGCCGCCTCCCTGGTGAGTGATTTCTCACTTTCCCTCTCTGGCAAGCACACACACTCTAACAAAACATAACACAACACAAAAACAAAAATCCAAGGTGGAATCGGCTACTTGGCTTTCTGAGAAGCACTACAACAGGGGCAGCTCCAACTCTGGGTTTTGCTTTTATAGCATTCAACCATAAGGACTCAAGACCCACTGGCTTTACCAGCTTTAACTTCCCTCATCCAGAAACACTGAGGCTTTCTAACATTTGACAGTAATTTATTATGAGCTGAGCATCGCTAATCTAAAAATTCAAACACCATAAAATCCAGAGCTTTGAGTGCCACATGATGCCACAAGTGGAAAATTCCACACCTGAAGTCATCTGACAGGACAGAGTGTAAAACCACAATATAAAAAAATATACAAGTGCCTTCAGGCTGTGTATATAAGGTGTACAGGAAACACAAATGAATTTTGTTTAGATCTAGGTCCTATCCGCCCCCCCACCCCCACCCCCCACGGATCTCCTTAGCTATCGGGTTGCTGGAAAAATCATGACCATATTTTTCTATGCCGAAATGCGTCATGACTTTTCTGATGACCCAATATACTCTGAAATCCAAAAAAATCCAAAACCCAAAACACTTCTGGCTGGATTAGGGATACTCCATCTATATTGCCTTTTGCATTTTAGTGAAAAGAAACCTGGATATTCTTTGTTGAGACAGTGACCTGCCATGTCCTGTGAACTCCAGTGCCTCCCGCGAACAATCCAGGTCAGTGCTCAGCTGTAGCACCTGCTGTCACTCCACAGGCCTAGGTTTCTGTCTAAATTTCCTACAAGTAGACTTGGGAATTCAAATGTGTAGTACAAAAAGAAAGTCATCCTTCTATAAAAGCAGCTTAAGTATGCTGATGCAAAAGTGGGTGTAAGTCGGGGGCCAGCAGGTGATGTGCTGGATAAGGGAGCTGGATTCCCACATGGCCAACCATGGTTCAAGTCCTGGACCTGGTGGCTTGCTTTCTCACTTTCCCTTTCTCTCTCTCTTTTGTCAAATAAAGAAAAAAAAAAAAACAATAACAAATGGAAATGAATAAATAATTCTTTAAAAAATGGGTGTAAGTTATAATTTTTTAAAAATTTAATTTTATACATTTAATCACAACGTATCACTCAGCTTATAAGTTGAATTTACCCAATATGAATACACTTTACACCAGTCCAGTTGAGGATATAAAGCACATTATCAACAGATAATAATCCATTTCTGTGTCCCATCAATGTTTTGCCTCTCTATTTTCCCCTTAGTTTCAAGTTGACATGTTTTCATTTTCATCTTAAATCCTGGTTCCTTATAGCCTTTCTCTCCCGCAGGCCACACCACGAGGCTTCACACCCTGGAACAAACAGGCCACTGGCTGGTTTTAAACCTTAAAACTTTCAAAATGGTCTCAAAATGAGGTACTATCAAGGAGGGAAAGGATTCTTTCACATGTCTTTTGCTCTGCTGACTGCAGAAGGACCCAAGCCTGGATAGCAGCCCGCAGAGTTCCACCACATGCTCTGTGCAAGAACTCAAGAGTGGGACACAGGAAGTAGGAAGCCAGGCCACCAGCCTGGGAGCTCTGTGGGAGAGCAGTGTGCCCAAGGGAACACTGCAGCACGGGCACTGGCAGGGGACTGGGCCTCTTGAGTGATGGCCCAGCAGGGCCCCTGCTTATTTAAGCTGTTGCTTTTTTTTTTTTTTTTTTTAAAGGTTTTTGCATATGGTGTGTGTGCCCACTTAGGGGAAACAGAGAGAGGGAGAGAGAAGTTATCCCTGGGTGGACAGCCACGCTGCAATCTCCTCTCCATTCTTCTCCGGGGATTTTGGGCACACACTCACATGTATCCAGTGTGACTTTTCAAGCGGCCAGGTCTGGGACTTAAACTGAGGTCGGTCATGTGGGAGTCCAATGCCTTAAACACCATGCTACCTGCTGGCCCCATTATTTAAGCTTCTTAAAAGATGGCACAGAACTGTTATTGGATTGTCGGAAAAGTTATGAAGTATTTTTCTGTTTTTCTATGCAAAAATGCATGACTTTTCTGACAACCCAACACACATAGCTGTTGTTAAGCGAGAAGGCGACTCTACAAATAGTCACATGATTTACTGGTTCTTGCCTAGTGGTCCCAAAAGTTTGAAAGGATGGACCTTTTCCTTTAATCTAGATGTTGGGTTCTGGCTGATGTCAGCCTTGCTAAGCAAGTTTTGTGACAGGTAAACACAAGTAACTGCAGAGCTTGTTTCTCCTGATGTGACTGTGCGATGGAGGGGGAGGCAGCAAGCAGGAAGCGAAGTTCCTCACCTTCCAAGGCCATGTCTTCTGTGTGCGTGGCCGTCTGAGTGGTGACGGATGTGCATGGAAAAGAACTGAAGCGCTACTAACTCATGCTGGGAGCCAAGGTGGTGAAGAGGCCAAGGAGGGAGACTCTGCAGAAGCCCCGTACATCTTGGCATCTGTGACAACTGCTCGTACTTGCCTAGCACCAGGACCTGAGATGGAGCCTGGCTACCATGTCATCACAGCCCTCAACCCCAGGCCAGGGGGTGGTCATCTGGGCTCCCCATCTCTGGGGATATATCCGGACAAGACAGAAGCTGCCTAGAGGCTATGGGAGCCTTCACCTGTCAAACAAGGCTAACAGCCATGCCTTCCTCAAAGGGCTGGTGGGAGGATCATACACGCTATTACTGATCGTCACCCAGAATACTACCCTGCGTGAAACGAGCAACATGTTATGTAAGAGTTTGCTCAATGAAACCAGCATTCATAGAATAAAAGGGAAAACCCAGCTACACATTAAGTTATCCTAGTTGAGTTATCTGAATTTCAAATAAAGACTATCTTCTTCTTCCTTTTTTTTATTAAGATTTTTGCTATAGGGTGTGTGCACTCACCAGAAAGAGAGAGACAGAATCAGAAAGCCAGAAATCACACCCCCCCACCCCACCCCCATAGGGATGGCCATGCCACAATCCCTTTTGCATTCCCCTCTCAGGATTTTAGGCATGCACGCACATGCACTCGGTATGAGTTTTAACCCGCCAGGTCAAGGACTCGAACTACAGTTGACTATGTGGGAGTCTAGCAATGCAATCGTTACGCCATCTGCTGGTCCCAAGACTATCTTCTATTAAAAGACACCTGTTCACCTTCTTACAAGGAGGATAGATTATGGCCTTGGTCTTCCCGAGGCAAGACCACGAAATAGTCAACTTTAGGACAGTTAAGAAATAATTAACTAACCACATTTTCTTTTAATAGCTTCATGGTTGTAAATATCTTGTTCTTGAAAAAAAAAAAAAAAGATATCTTGTTCTTGAAAAAAAAAAAAAAAAGTCCTTAGACACATGGCTGATGTTTCTTCAAAGCACAAATAATAGCACTTCAGTTCTCAGAACATAAATACAGATGGCGTACTGGTTAAGGTACTGGGCTCCCACATGGCCGACTGTGGTTTGAGTCCTGGAGGTTTGCTTTTTCACTTTCCCCCTCTCTAATGAACGCAAATGCCCTATAGCAAATTATAGTCAACCAATCAATCAATAAAATTACATATTCTTAAAACAAAGAAAAAGGACCCAGTGCAGTGCTGAGTGTCTTCACAGTATCTCACACACAGGATCCTATATGATTTTACCAAAATGTCCTAAGCTGTGCAAGCAAGGGCTGTTCCCAGCATATACCAAGAAAACCAAGATCCCATCGCTAGTAGGAAAAAGTGACAGATACAGGAATTTAATGAATACATATTCTTCCTGTTAAACCACGCAGTCATAGATACAAGTGACTGCTCTCAAACAAAGAAAATACTGTATTTTAAAAACCACACAAGTCAAGGGGTGCTTACTATTGGCTTTAGAACACAAAAAAGCCTATCACCTCTCACCATGAAGCCCTGCCCACAGCCATCTTCTGATCTACTTAGTTTAAGAACAAAGAGCCACCATGCATTACACAGAGAGATACCTGGGCACCAAGGGTAAACCACACGTAGTTAAGATTGGAATATAAAAAAGGAACTGGAGCCAGCAAATGGCGTGATAGTTAAGGTGCTGAACTTTCACAAAGTCAACCATGGTTCAAGTCCCGGATCTGGCAGTTTAAGCATCACCCTGGGTACATGTACGTGTATGCTCTAAACTGAGAGAACAGAAAATGGGTTACAGCATGGCCCTCCCACCCGAGGGGTGATTTTTTGTTTTCTCTTTCTTGCTCCCATTCTCTGTCTCTGGCAAGCACAGATGTCCAATGGCAAAAACCAATAACCAAAAAACAAAAAACCAAACAAAAAAAAGAGGAAACAAACAAACAAACAAAAAGTTCAAACACAGACACTATCATAAACGCACTAGGATTCCACAGCCTTAATGGGAAGGAGGGCTTCACGACCAGGTAAAACCACCTGCTCCGTTCCAAAGTACGCTCAAGTAGGCAGGAAGCAATATTAGACCGTACAGTCCGTAAGAGGCTAGGCTAAGAACTTGCTCGCTTCTCCTTCCAGGTCTCTAGGAGGCGGGAGCACACTCTACCCAATGGCTAGATGTACTGGAATCAGCTGCTGCTCCATTTCCGTTTTCTGTATTAATCGTCTAACTTCTATATGCTACATAAAATAGTAAAAACAAGAGCATGTCTTAACAAGGAAATTCACAGAAAGTGACATATGAAAAGTTGAGAATAAACTCAGACAATAGGGTTTGAAAATACTGAGAGACGCTTGTAGGTGACACTCTCAGGGAGGAAACAAGAAAACAATTAAAAGCAACCTTTTGGCAGCCCACGCAAAACATCCTAAGCTTGGAACTAAATAACTAATAAGAGGAAAGGGGGTCCTCATGCCTACTTTATTGCTCAACACAAAGGCCAAGAGTACCTGTGATATTTAGAATAATTAAACCACACAGATATCTTACAGATTTAAAATCTAGTCTTAGAGATCTTAAGTAGCTTCTTCAGTTTTATCTATGCTAAGATTTCAAGGTAATTTAATATAGTCACAATAAGTGAAATGATTACTTCCAGAATAAGGAAAACCAGAAAAAAATCTGGTTGGAAAACCAAAAATGTACAAGTAAGGGCAATAAATAAATACAGAAAGGAAAAGAAGTGACAAGTAAACACAAGTGTTGAGAGGAAGGAAATGAGTTTACATACAATGCATTCTATTCAGCATAGGCTGGGTGCCTGGTGGAAATCAGGCCACTGCACACTAACCTGCTCCCTAGGCCAGCTTTTGGTGGTTGAGGCAGCTGGACCCCACATGGCCAACTGTGAGGTTTTTGAGTCCTGGACCCACGGCATGTACATGTGCCCCCAAAATTCCCAAAGGAGGGAGAAATAGAGAAGGGACTGAGGTGTGACCATGCCCCATTGGGGGTGTTTACTCACTTTGCATCTCTCTCTAGCAAACTCACTCTCTCTCTCTCTCTTCAATAGCAAGGTTCAGAACCAGTGTACAGTATGCTACTGCTATTGTACAGGGGGAGGAAACATGTAAGAAGAGGTTTGGATGTGCTGAAAAAAGTCTGGAAGAGTTAACAAGAAACTAATGATAGTGGCTTGTTTTTTTTTGCTGGTGGTGGCAGGTATGAAATGGCAGCGAGGAGGACAGGGCCAGAGGTTAGAAGTCATAACTGATGCTTTGAGGTCTAGCTCATGTACTCAATCATCTAGTCGGGGAAATGACTTAAAAGCCATTAATCAAAATGACCTGGTGTGAAAGCACTCAGCTGCAATTATACAGGTGACCCAAATGGAAAGATGACAGAGCTATTTTAACAGGATGTGTCACCACTTTGGGAAGGCTGGTCTTGAATATTTGAAACATTATTTCATGATTTGATTTAGCAATAAATCTCTGTTCAACCACATTAACTTCCAGGCTGGGACCTGGGCCAAACATGCAAACAAAATCTATTAGGATGAAAAGCTTTTACTTCCTTACTTTCCCTCTCTCTGTCTCCCTCTGAGGAGTACATGGGCCCTATAGCAAAAAATAATAAAAACAAAAACAGGCTCTTATCAAAGCCACCTCTTAATCCCAGCAAGCAGTCACAGAAAGAAAAGCCTTGATCAGATTACAACCAACAGCTTCCTAAAAAAATGCCTTGGTAGTTTTCCAGCGCTTGTCAAGGACATAGTTCCCTCCTAACCAAGACCAAGCCAACCGCGCCCAGCTGCAGGAGACCAGAGGAGAGTGGGAGACCGAGCTGAGCTTGTCTTTCTGATCCTGCCTTTCTGATCCTGACGCCAAGACCGGGCGTCAGGGTGGGTGGGTTCTCATTTTCAGTAGCCGGAAAGCTGTGTGACTGTAAGGAAGTCGCCTAGCCTCTCCTGGCTCTCTCTTCCTCTTCTTAATAACTGGGATAAGGGAATACAACATTTCTGAGATCTCTTCCAGACATTAACTCTTCTGTTCTGTTTCCAATACAAGTAACATAACCACCAAATCAGCTAAGGGATACAGAGAGGTGCTCCCTTCTTAACTGAAAAAAAAAAACACACACACACACACACATACAGGAAAGGCTTTGCCTGGTGATATAGTCAGACACAATCTGAACCACAGCACTGGAAGCCATCCGCAGACTGCAGCTGGGACTCAGAGGTCAGCCTGGAAACACACCAGATGTGCCCAAGACCCGGGGAGCTGAGCGATGCGGCAGGGAACTGTGGGTTCCGAGGCTCAATTCAGAGTGCTGCTCCGTTTCACCCTCGTCAGCACACATACACACTTTCATGACTAAAGCAAACTTAGCCCTGCCCCCCCCACAAGGTCCAGAAATGGAAACGAGGATAGGAGACAGGAAGTTCACCTTGTTCTACCTTCCCCATACTGACATACCATGGAACATTATTTCCTGCAACATAATCATTTCAACAATTATTTACCTACACTTACAGAAGCAAAGGATAATAAAGTTAATAAAAACAACCAAAAATGCCAGGACTGTCTTCAAAGACTCTGAATGAAGGAACTGCTAGTACTTAAAATCAGACACTCGCCTGAGAATTTACAGTCAGCTTGTTCTTGGGTTATTCACACAGAAAGAAGTCAATGATCCTTCATCTACACTCCACAAAAAAGCGACCTAGTTTATCTCTTCCTCCCCCTCCGAATTTGCTCTCTCTCCTTCCCAGGACACGGCTGTCCCACTAGGACTGTTTCCCAGCCCCTTGGAGGTAGGCGTGGCCTGGGATTCTGCTCTCCCAAAAAGTGCTGTGCAACGCCATCACCCCACGAAGGGCACTGCAGCCTGGACTGCACAGCGCACATTCAGCCAATGCTTCCCAAGGGCAAAAATGCGCTCAGAGGTTGGGCAGGAAATGGTGCACACCAGCATGACACCAAAACTACTTACAAGGAGTTTTGAAATAAAAATAGAATTGTAACTATTAAAAGCAGCAGTATGAAAAAGAATGGAATAAAAACTTACCAAATGTGCCATAAAATCCTCTGGGTCCGCAAGTTCCCACGCCATACTTCTTCAGAGACGCTAAGGCTGCTGCCTTTGTAGATGTAAAACAAATCACACTTTAACGTACAAAGCCAGCACTTCCTGCTCTTTAACCCACAGAGCTCCTTTCTCCTTCCTCCACTTTTCTTCCTTTCTTAGAATTACGACAACTTGAACAGGGTAGGAAACAAGGAGTGTGATTTAAATGTGGGCCAGTCACATCAGCTTGATCCTCAATCCTGGCTAACTCGAAGCTTTACACGTTCTGCATTTGTGGGCCCATGGTTTTCCTGAGAAATGCTGGCTTGCCATATCCCAAGAAGGGGTGGAGCAAACACCTGACACGTGTACTACTTCCCGGCCTGGCTTTCTCTCTGCTGTCACCCAACACTAACCCACACTGGACATCCTTGTCTCCACCAGTCTAAGTCCAGGTTATATCTCTGCTGGAGAAAAAGGCCTGGAGACTTGCACAGTTTCTCTTTCTGAGAGGCTGCTGCCTTTGTTTGCAGCTCACGCCCAGGCTTGTAACCCATTAATATCTTCCCGTTCACTGCAGCCTTACGTGCTACTCACCTTAACCCTGGGGTTATCCAACAATCCAAGGAAATTAAAGGAGGCAAAGTTGATGCACTTTTTTCCGTTCACCACAATGTTGTGACTCAGAGGAAAAGAGACAAACCGCACAGCTCAGCACACAAACACGTCACGCACTGTCACACTACCCTGGCGGCAGGCACAGCACAGTAGGGCTGGCATACTGGTCTGTTTTATATTGTTTTTAAGAAGTAAAATTAGACACAAGTAGATTAAAATTCAGATACCTTTCCATCAATGTAACCATTTTTCATTTTATCCTTAATAAACTACCCGTATTGCTTAAATACAAAAGACAAAAGAGCTAGAATCTTTTTTTAAATTTTTTTTGGAGAAGTTTTTGCTATAGGGCGCGTGTGCTCGCCAGACAGACAGAGACAGAGAGACAGAAAGCAAGAAATCACCCCGCAGGGGGGATGGCCACGCCACAATCCCTTCTCCTCCATTCTCCTCTTGGGATCTTGGGCACGCACGCACACACACCCAGTGTGAGTTTAAGCCACCAGGTCCAGGACTCGAACTGCGGTCGACTACGTGGGAGTCCAGCGACATAGCCATTACACTAACTACTGGTTCCACTAGAATCTTTTTTTAAGAGATTTTTGCTATCGAGAGTGTGTGTTCACCTGAGAGATGGAAACAGGGAGTGAGAAATCACCCCCTCAAGGGGGATGGCCATGCCGCAATCCCGTCCCCTTCTTTCTTCTCGTGGGATTTTGGGCATGCACACACTCGTTTCCTGTATGAGTTTTAAGATGCCAGGTCCAGAACTCGAGCCATGAGTATGTGGGAGTCCAGCGATGTAACCATTATGCCACCTGCTGGTCCCAAAAGAGCTAGAATTCTAAGACAAATGAATGACAAATTTTTGCTTTGGTTTTAGAACTTCAGAAAGAAGTAACTATGGAGGCAGCAGGTGGCATGGGGTTAAGGTGCTGGTATCCCACATGGCCAATTGTGGTTTGAGTCCCAGACCTGATGGCTTGAAAATCATGCCAAGCACATGTGTGCACATGACCAAACTCTCAGAGGAGAATGGAGAAGGGGTTGCGGCATGGCTATCCCTGCCGGGGAGGGTGATTTCTCACTTTCCCTCTCATTGTCTCTTTCTGGCAAGTACACACCCTACAGCAAAAACCTATGGGAGAAAAAGAAAAAAGAAAGAAGTATCTAAATACAGTATCTTAGGGGGAAAAAACCTGGAATAAGACAAACAGAAGAAATATAAAATGATAAACATCAAAGGCAAAAGACAGCAGCAGAGTTATAGATCTTATATTTAAGTGTTTAAATAAACGTTTCTATTGGAAGCTATATTTACAATTTCTAAAATCAATGCTGGAATGTTTTTTAGAGACGTTCCCCCACCAAAGAAAGCCGGTGGCCAGCTACACAGGAGCCACGTGGAAGCCCGGCAGGGGCAGCAGAATGTGTGGGGAGACAGCTTGTGAACTCTGCTCCCGCATCCTCCAGCTACACACGTGCTCAGCACTGTGGCATCAAACTAGGACCAGGAGCCAGCTAAGCTGGTCACAGCCATCCAGCCCTAACTAAAGGAAGGAGTAAGATGGAACAGAACAGAAGCCATCAGGACTGTGCACAGGGCACAGTGGGAACTGTGCTGGAATTTCCTCTGCAATTACCTACTGGTCTGCATCCTAGGCAGCACTGGGGAATGCACCACAGGCAGAAAAGACCAAGGAAACCACTCTCCTCGACGCCTTTAATGGAACTGGCACTCCACGACAAAAGTAACACAAGATGCTGGAAAGCCCGGGAAGGAAAGGAATGACAACATGAAGTCCACTCTCAAAAACAATTAACTGACACAAAAGGGAACAGGCCTCAGGGAGAAGAACCCGGATGCAGAGTCAGCTGGACGCATCCCACTGCAGCTGAGGGCCTCAGCCACTCAGGACATCACCTGGACTTTGTGCTACTCAGGCTCATCAATAAAGTGTGGGGAGGACCCAGTATTGGAGAACCTGGCCCATGTGAGGGCTCTCTGAACATTTTCTCCCTTCTTCCCTGTGGTTTTAAGGCTTTTCTTATTTTACTTAATTGATTGATTCTAATTTGACCAGACAGAAAGAGACAGAGAGAGAGGGAGAGAGAGGGAGGGAGGGAGGGAGGGAGAGAGGGA